GTGTGTGTGTGTGTGTAGGTTTCTGGAGTATCCTGGTGCTGTCAGTATTAGCAGGATGTATCTGCTGTGTCTTTTCATGGACTCTCACCTACCTTGACTCACAGCAGAGTGGCATCCCAGCACTGACACTCACCCACTTCAGGTAACACACCAGCTTACACCAGCTTACACCAGTATATCCAGTATGTCTAACACAACCTTACTGCTGGTGATGTCGTCAACATGATAAAAACAGGAATCTATGTGTGTGCTTTCTTCCAGAGATGGTTTCCACATGGGTTATGGCGTTGCTGTCCTTAATGGCATAATGGCCATGCTCACTGTCATCTGGAGCCTCACTTGACTCACACACACACACACACACTCCCGCAATAGAAATGCTTAGACTCACAGGTATCTAATACTGGACAGTGACCAGCTTTCAACACTGTACAGAGCTATTTTTATATTTTTACCAGTTTTGTTGGATCCCTTCTTTAATCCGTGATCTGTATTTTTTGGTCAGACAAGACAAGCTGTTGTTTTTTTCACTTTTGGACGGACCTCATCATCAGGTATCTCAGTCAACAGTCTCTATGGAAACTTTGGAAATCACTTTCAATGCAGTGCATGTCTTCATGTACACTCCTACTGTAGTCAAGGCTGAACGTTAGATCTGTGTCATTAAAAGGGAACAATTGAAATTATTATTAGTATTTTTTTTTAATGTGGAAAGAAAGGGATATTGCCATCAGAAAAGTTTGGATTGTCTGTATTTATTGTGTGTAGGGTTGCAACTAACTATACTATAAATACATTATTCCTCTTCTCCATACCCCCACAGACACTCATGCCCATACTGTTATGCCCCCGAATGCTATTGTTTACAATGTTGTAATTGTCTTGCTGTGTGTTGCTTGTATGTGTATTCAGTTTAATGTTGCACAGTAATCACTTGTCACCAATGTGTCATGTATATCACCAATAAAAAAAAATCAAAATAAAAAAATAAGTTTTGTAACTAACGATTATTTCTTTGGCCAATAAAAGGTCAGAAAATGGTGAAAATGTTGATCACTGTTTCCCAAAGACAAGGGGACATCCTCAAATGCCTTGTTTTGTTCACAACCCAAAGCTATTCAGTTTACTGACATAGAGGAATATATTTTTAATTCTGCATTTTACTAAAGCACCATTGCAAGGTTTTAAATAATAATCTCTCAATAATAGTATGTTAACTTTAACTAGACACAGAGATAGATATAATAAGTAACATTCCTGCATTAAAATGTCTAGAAACCACTCCCATGATCTCATAGTGCTTGTTTGAAACCCTGTTGCTGACAGTTTAGAGAAACCTTCAGTTGACTGTTCATGCCAGTAGATGGCAGCGTTCTGACTCATCAGCCTACCATCACTGCAGCAGACTGAAAAAGGAGATACATCATAAAATTATCTACTTAAGCACTTCACTAAAAAATTTTTTTATCTAGTATGAATTTATGTTACATAAACAAAGTGCGATCAGTCATTACATCCAAGTCTAATTTACAAAACGTACCACCCCAAAAAATATACTCCACCTTTCTAGAAAAAAAAAAATTTGGTTCTGTGGAACATCTTCGTATTTAACTGTTGTCTAATGTGATTTAGGACTAATTAATTTATTGAGCCGCAGTGTAGATAAGGGGGCACAAATGAAAGCTGAGTGGGAACCTGAACCACCGTTAGTGAACCTTTGAACTATTCCATCCTCCTAGAAAAGCTAATACCTCCTCAGGACTGTGGGGGTATACAGATTCATATATTTCTCACTCCTGTCATTTTTATTAACTTTATTTAAACAAAATACAACTGAAAAGACATAATTAAAAAGTAAAAATATAGACTTTAAAATCTCAAATCCCATGTAGTATGCTTTTTTTTTAGCTGAAAGCACCACACAGACTCAAAGCTAGCATAGCTGTAGACTCTTATTCTTGTTTTCTGAAGAAAGAAAATGAAAACAATGGATAGTAAAGTTACTTCTGTTTATTAGTATGCTTATAAAACAAAAGACTACAAAAAGTTGCTGTCTCTATGCAATAACCGTCACAAAGAAATACTTTTTTGTGTGTTATGTATTGGATGTGTATTTTAAAGTTTATTGGGGAGGCCCAACACACAACTCAGTCCATTTGTTTATAATACCATGACAACACACCTTTACAGTTTTGTACTCCACACACAAGATTTCACGGATGACCGAGTATACAAACAGTGCAAAGAATTTAACGGAAATCTGGAATGAACACTTTCACACAAACTAACTCTCGTACAATACATAATATGACTCAAGTGAGACGTCAAAGGAGGCGGCCCACCATCTGGTAAACTGGTGACTGCCTCCACTGACGTAAATAATGAATACACTTAGTACATACAGGAAAAAGAGGAGAGGCACCATTACATACAGCAAAGGCCAAATGTTTAAAATCCATTCACCTATCAACTCTGTACAGAGAGAAATTAGTCTTAATGACAAATGTGTCTTTCATACAACAACTTTACAAATAAAACACTTGAATAATTCAGTGCTATTCCGATCAAATTCAGTTTTCTAGATATAAAAAACGAAAAAAGTATAAATAAACAATTTGATTATCACATCTTTGCTAAGCAAGAGTTTTGTGCAAAAGGAATTAAAAGCTTGTTCCATACAGAAGCCTAATATAGGCTGAGTTGATTGAAGGAAATAAAAGCCCGGGCTATCAACTGAAGTTTTACAGTATTGGTGAAATTTGTTGCACTTACTGACAGATACTACTGACAAACTGTGCATGGATCACCTGGCATTTAAAGGGATAGTTCAGGTTTTTTGTGTATGGAGGTACTTATCCTACTTATCCTATATCCCTTTGTAGAAGCAGACAAGAGTCCCAGCACGGAAGCTAACCAATGTACTACTGAGGATGTTCAACATAACATATTTTTGCCACTGAAAAGATCTGTATAGTGTAAGTGTATGCTACATCTAGAATATTTTCACTGCTTTGGAGAAAGCATAGGTGCATATATAATGGCTTCAGTTTCCCATCTGAAAGAGATGTGTGATGGCGGTAAAAATATTCGAAATTCAAAATACAGCAGATAAGCAGATAGTTTTTTTTTTTTTTTTAGGTGGGCCTTTTTTAGGTTACTAAAGTACATTTTGTTCCTGCCCCCATCTACAGCAGTGGACCAACCACGCAAACTAGTAGAGAACATGGAAACTGCACATTTGAAGGCTCTGTCCGAGTCGGGATACGAACAGGAACCTTCTTGATGTGAGGCAACAGTGACACTAAAAAAAAAAAACACCATTTAAACTTCTACATTTGTTCACATTTCGTTTGTCTGCTTGCTTGTTGATAGAAAAACACATTCGCAAACAACATAATTTATTCACATATAACCATAAACATGAAGCCCATATTGTTTCTATTCTACATCTGCTAACTCTGGGTGTGTGCTCTGACACTGGCCTTTATCTTGCCTGCAAATCAAAGTGTTTCACAGCAGACGAATCGTATCCAACACTGTTATCAGTTGTTTGTATTGATATTAAGCAACACATAATCTTGGTTTATGACATTCATAACCGTTTTTTTTATGTGAATACATGACGACATCAGTACCAGTAGTACAGAAATAGACATAAAAATAAGAAATGCACTGCATTTATGTAGTTATTTTATCCAAAGTGCTTTCTCACACTCACACACACACACTTTGGTCATCACTATTGCACATTAAAGTCTGGTGTCATTTATGTTTTTGTCAACAAATCTCATGTCCAGAGCCGTAACCAACAGAGAATGTATCTACTAACAAGCACTGTGTGTGTATCAAAGCCTGATGTGCCATAGAGTTCCACTGTTGTCCAAAAACTATTAAATCCTTCATCACCATGAACACACAACACTGTAATTTATTTTGACTCAATCCCACATACACCGTCCTGCTGCCCAAATACTAAATAGAGCACCAAATGTGGATTAATCCGCTTCTGGAAATAGTCCCCAACAAATGCACTTCCTGCTGCCTTTAAAAACTACAGTGAGCAGCTGTTTTAGGATCACATCTTCAAAACAATCAATGGGCTGAGAGCCTCAGACAGAGCACGGAAGTCACAAAGTATTGAGAGACGGACAAACACATTGTTGGTTTTGGTCTTTTCATTGGATTTGTTGACAATAAAAAACGTATCCTATCCTAAGTTTTTTTTTTTTTTAAAGTTAGAAACTCCAGATATTTTTTTTACTTTTTGAGGCACTTTGTCTAAATCCAGTAACAGAACATTTAACAGTAATTAACATTTTGTGCGCTATAAGCAGCCTAACAATATTAAACATGTGCTCCAGGTGAACAGTGTAACATTTCAAGCTTCAACAGCATTGTGTTAATTAAAGACAAATATTGATAAGCCTGATACGATACTCCTTCTCAGTACTAATACTTATCAATGATTAATTAATCAATTAGTAGTAAATAATAAATATTAAAAAAAAATATCAATTTGGCTGGTCTACTATAGTAGTGGTGCGAAAGTAACATTCCTAGTGTTTATTGAGCTTTCGAATCAAGTCTAAGGCATCAGTTTCAAAAAGCTGGTATCGTTTGTGTGTGTTTTTTTTCCATTCCAGAACCATGTTTTAAAACTATACAGGATAAATCAAGTTTTTTGTTTTGATTGTGTAAAAATGTACAGTATGTGCAGCTCCTTTCTGGGTATCGCCAGGGCAGGTGGGCGCACCAAGCACTTCTTCGGCTTGTTCTCTGGTGGACTGGACCTTACTGTGGACCTGCCGGTGTTGATTCTGGCCCCCCCAACAGCAAAGAGCAGCTCCGGAGGGCATCCATAGTTTCATTCAACCCAGTTTAGATGAAACCCTGACATATGTGATGCCATTCTGCCACGCAATGACCTTACAGATGAATACAGCTTGAAGCATTTCACTCAGACTAAATAAGAATAGACAGGAGCTGCAGTTTTTATTACTTCTGTGTTGGCCTCATTTGCCAGCCACAGAGGTTGACTAGGTTTTACTAAGTGTAGTTTTAGCCTCTACTGTTGTGGCTGAAGAGATTACTAAAGCTCACTCACCTTTGCTGCTTTAGTATGTGAGAAGCTATTCAATATCTATCGTTATGTGCCATCAGCTGGAGACAGCGTCGCTGATCGGCGGAGAGTCTGACTCTGTTTCTGCTGGGCTGTCGGCCAGGACCTCCTGCTTGGAGGGCCTCTTGGAGGCCAGTTTGCAGAGCCCAGCAAGGAGGAAGACCATAGAAATGACTGCAAAGTAGCAGCCATAGATAAGGAACTGAGGGAAGAAAACAAGACAATCAAAATTACATTGTGGGAGGGGGATAAACAGCACAGGAGCAACATGAGCAACTTTTTTACCTGAGTAAAGACATCAAGGCCCAGTCCAGCTGAGTCCACCACCACTATAGTGAGCAGAGTCTGCAGCAGCAGAGCCACGAAGGTGTTCACTCCAAACACCAAGGCGTAGCGCTGCATGTTGAGACTGGCTGCAATCTGATATCTGATGGGTCAGAGGGCAAATGACAGAAAAACATAATGAAATACTGTACATAAGGAAGATCAGTGTCTCTCCTCGATTCATACAGCAGTTTGGCAATGAAATAGCAAAACTTGGAATGAAACTTGGAGTATAGTGTTTTAGAAAGCTGACATTTAAATCCAATCACAACCTACTGCCTCAACTAAAGAACTGCGATCGAGAAACATAATAATCCCTCATTACCCAGCAGCCCTGCTAGTTGTTTAACTTCATATTTAGTTTCTTTTGGGGTGGTGATTCAGGGAAAAAGACAAACAGATGCTAATACAGACTTACACAGCTCCACCTTCTCATACTCTTAATAAAAACAGGGCATGCTCAGCCCATATTTATAAAAAAAAAAAAAAAGATAAACTAATGAATCGCAAAACTATCACGTCAATGTTAACAATCTAACCGTATTTTAAATATATGTTGACCTTATTTTACATGTGTTTCTAGGCTAATTATCAGCGTGCTGTAGTGTTTTAAAATTGTGACCAGGCTAATATTTTAATTTTAAAAGTACATTACCTATCATTCAATTAACTTATATTACACACACACACACACA